CAGCGGTGGCTTTTGTGCGCGCATGTGTATTGTGCTGGCCATGTGGACGTAAAAACATTTGTATATTTTGGGTGAATCGGCACCACCCCCACAAGCCATATCCCCTATCCAACATCAAGAATAACCTGAATTTAAGAAAGATTAATACCTAACCCCCCCCCCCCCCAACCTCACATTTATAGAAGCTGTGCAGAGCATTATTCATTTCAATAAAGCATGAAAAGATACATCAAAAATGTCCCCGTAAATGATGAGAATTCTTATTTATGTATTTCTTTATTGGTTTAACTCCAGCGGTGTTCACGAGCTTTGAGAGAGCCTCATTTTTCTACCTCGGCCATATATCGCACAGAACACCTGCGTACATTTACTTGCGCTGTAAAGTAACATCAGTTACAACGACCTGTGTGTGACTTGCGGTGATACGATCTCCTGCTGAAATAATATAGCAAAAAAAAAACCACCCGCGTGCAATGAGAGAAGCTCTTGGCAAAAGGTGGGATGCTTCTTTCCATCACGTTGAATTTAGTTTGACTTTTGGAGCCCCCCCCCCCTTTTTGGAATATTTTTACACTGAAATTTAAGATTCATAAACGGGGGTCTGTTGTGACCTAGGCAACGATGCACAGCGCGTAATTAACGCTCAAAATGAAGACGTCACCACGGCCAAAGCTTGTCGATGGCGTCGCAATTCGCAAAGCATGTTCCGTCCTCTGCCAGATCTTGCAGTTCACAGGGTGTAAGCACGTGGTAAAAAAAAAGTAGTCATCGTAGGAGTGGAAGGCTAACAAAGCGAACAATCTTCTTGGTTATTTCGGTAAAGTCACGTAGCATGGAAATACAATAATAAAAATTAAACATAATGAAATGAATTCTCACGACGTTTCGGCCACAACACAAGTAGCCTTCTTCAGGTGAAGGAACAGAACTGTCGGGACGACAGCGCTTCAAGTGCTTCAAGTGCTCTGTCGTCCCGATATTTCTGTTCCTTCACCTGAAGAAGGCTACTTGTGTTGTGGCCGAAACGTCGTGAGAATTTTATTTTATTATGTTTTATTTTTATTATTATATTTCCATTCTACGTGACTTTACCGAAATAACCAAGAAGATGAATCCCTGCAGTCACGAAAGCTTTAAATCGAAATTTAAAGCGAACAATGTTGTAACAAATGAGACAGAAAAAAACCCGCTAAAAATTATGCAAACAAATTTATCTTTTTTTTGGGATAGTGACGATTTGCCGAAATGCCAGTGGGGTGAACCATTTCACGTCTGCCACCCAGCCACCAAAAGGGTCTTGCAAGAGCTTGTGTATGTATGTTGACACTTCTTTCGCACCGTACGTAGCCAACCGTGCTCATCAGAGGTTGCTGGATGCTGGGCGCAAAGTTCGCGCTTGGGGAGGTTTTGATGTGGTGGGGTATAGAACGACATCAATTCCCGAAAGCCAAAGCGGTATCTTCATGAGCACGGGTAGGTACTCCATCTCCCGTTTAATAATTCAAATTCCACATCCGCATGGCACGATGTGGATAATTCCAATGAACAACCACTTCTGACTCCCCACAGAGTGGGCACTCTGTTATTTGGTCCAAAAGCAATTCAAGGCCGTGGTACAATTAACTGAGTGAGAACTAAACACACAGCCTTGTCATTGTCAGTCACGTGCTATAACCACAATGCCACCCGGATGGATAGCAATAAACTGTGCACTATAATTTTTTTGTTTAACCAGGTACGGCCCACTGAGCTATATAGCTTTTTTATGAAGCGACCTGACCACAAATGACAGCTCAACGAAGTGGCTTATGACGTGGACATTTATAGCAGCCAAATACTCTAAGCGCACGTTGATTCTAAATGTGGAGGGGAAAAACAGAGGGCCCGGAGAAAAATCATACGCGGCTACGGGGAAAGAAAAACACGCAAACTCCAAATATACAGCAGCAGGCGTCAGGGTCAGGATCGAACCCACGATCTCCTGCATACCCAGGGAGGTAGTTGACATCTCGTTACTGTGGCACTACCAGGTAAAGTGAAAAAGGTGAATGTGCATGGCTGGAATTGTTGGCTCATGCCAATGCTGGCAGACAGCCCTCCACTAGAGGATGCTCCAGAGACCCCCTTGCAGGGTATTTTGGTCTACTCATCCACTCTGGCCGGACGTCTTGGAAGAGGTGGGAGTGCCCACACTTATCTCGCCAAACGTGACCTGCTGTTTGACTAACTGTGGGTGGACACGGGCAGGGCAGGGAGATTTAAGATACATTGCATAATTGTTTCAACTGCCGCGCCTGGAGATCGTTCTCCGTATCATCTGGATTTGCAAGGGCAGTGTGCTAACCAATACACCGACAAATTAATGTGATGCACAGTGTTTTGACGAGACGATAGAAAAACAGCTCAGCATTGAAATGATGTATTCCCAAATCCCAATGCAGTGCACGCACATCATGGCTTATTAACACTCAAATTGACTACCTATGTGTCGTTAATAGCTGCAAGTCATTTACTGGCTTGGTATACAAATGTATAAAGTTATCGTTTATAAATGTTTGCGCGCGTGTATTCGCGTGCTTGCGGTGTGTCATTTGCAACCGAGAAAACCTCGCAAGCGACACACTCCGTCTCAAGGGAGTATCCAGCTGAAATATCTTACAAGCGCATGTATGACAATTACTGTTATAATCCATCATTTTTCTTTTTTGCTTCTTCAAGGGTGCATTACCTTCCACTGACGTCCATGTGGGGTTTTTTTTATATCGCAAAATACCGATGCATATCAAACGTGTCCAGAATTATTGTAATTTATTGTGGGTAATAATTTTATTTCAACATTTTTTTAAAGAGTTAAGGGTCTGATTCACCATGAAATAAAAATAGTCCATCCGCCTATGGGGCCCGTGCAGTGATGTTTTCCAACAGAATGTGTTTAATCAGGCAAACCCTGGAATGCATTCAACCCCCAGTGTCTCTTTAGCAGAATTCGTCTAGTTGCACAATTTCTGAGTCCTGGTAGATTCATCTGGCCCCTGCTTATGAGTCACATAGAATTTTTAACCGGTTCAGACTTTGCATGCTACAAAACGCAGCAGGAAAAAAATATTGGTCCACAATGCCCTGTGGTTGATGCGAACACAGGCTTTAAAAGCTTTGTTGTGCCAGGGTGTGTTTGCGAGTGTTTTGACTTTCACGAGTTTCGGCCCCAATATTGTGCATCATTTGGGGGCATTACTTAAGTTCTGAGCATGTGCCCACCTCACGAGAGATAATGGATATTATCATCTCGAACTAGGCGCATCGAAGGCCTTTGTTAAATTGTTCGGGCTAGCTTTTTGTCCAATGACAGGTAAAACGTTTGGGCCGAACTCACAGAGTTACGTGGAACTGCTCCGAATGAATTATGGGAGCATCAATTCGTGCTACTTATTGTCTTTTCATTTTGTGCTCAGTCGGTGTGTTTTCTTGATAGAAAACAAAAATATATTCCTATGCCACATAATTCAGCTGGGAATATTTTGCTTGCCACAAAATGAACCACAATACTTTGCTGATCTCGTCAAGGAGCATACACCATCACGCAAACTCCGGTCATCCTCGTAGAGGCTTTTGGCAAACCATCGAACAAAGACGGCCACCACATTGCGTGCTTTTAGGCGCGCTTCTGCGGCTGTTTGGAACGCTATTCCCTCCGATATTAGGAAGCCACTGGAGCTATGCACTTTGAAATCTCATTTCTTTAGAACTGCTTTTTATGTTTTATTTGTTGTCATTCCCCCGCAACTCCGATTAGCACGGCTGCCTACGTGCAGTGCGAAAGAAGTTCTATATACATACATAATACAAGTTCAGTTGTGTGGGGTAAGGGGACCACTGCCCCGTACGATGCTGCTTACTTCCACTGGTGCCTCGTTCTCAACGGAACAAAGGAGATTTGGCAACGGATACAAATTGTGGTTGTAATTCGCATGCTGGCTGGAGGCTTCAAGAGGCTAATGCCACATTTTCAATTGCCATATGGCGATGAGAATTTTCATGAGAGATCCTGGGCAAGGTACTGCATCACATGGAACAGGATGGAATTTAAATATATGTTTAAATATATATTTACACGTGTGTTATCTGTCTCTTTACCATAAGTGTAGTAGCGTTTCCACGTTTATTAAAGTTTGTAAATTAATTAAGGCTATTATGACATTCAACGGATTTGACATTTAAAAACCCTTCCCGTGTCTGTTGTAAATGTTTTATTTCACGTGCATGTTTAATTAAAATAAATTCTGACCAGTCCATTAATAATTTTTACACGTCTGAATTTACGTGTTCGTTTCGCATTTGGACACACGTTGTTCCACACAAATTAAAATCGCAAGTTTTCAAATGCCAAATATACTCCAGGGGCATAAACTTGCCTTTTAATCATCGCCAGCCGTTCTCTATCCACTGTTGCAGGTCTCTTTCCATACCATCACCATCCCTTATGTTTTGGCGTCACCACAATTATATTTAAGAATAGGTTTATCCCTTTCTGGCAATAAAATAGGTGTTAAAATGTTCACAAACCAAATATAAACCTTTTGCAAGGCATCAAGTCTGCATTAACCACACGTACTTGTGGCAAAACAAGCGAGCAAGCGTGCTCTGATAATATATGCTTTGCCTTTAAAACGTATTGGTATATACCAGAGTCAGCCTTCTTGAAGGCCTTGTCTCACCAGTGTTCGCCCAGAGAACGCCAAAAGGCGCACAGTACAAATAAAATGCAAGTGGCAGAGGATTTATGACGCGGGTTGAGCAGTGTTTGAACATCTATAACGCCCGTTCAATTGCCAGAAAGGGCAAAACACACATTTTTATTTTTTTATACTGGTAAAAAAAAAAAGTTCACATGGACACAATTATCCACCTCACTCCCGGACACGAGCTGATGTTAAATGCAGCGTCTTCCAAGGTGATCTCCTTTTCATGCACTTTCTTGGTCTTTGGTGATAACATTCCAGAACGAGTCTGTCCCCCTCGATCATCGGGCCCTTCAAACTCACACGAGGCCGAGCTGGGCTTCAGAACCCCGGCTGATCCCACGTGGGCCCCTGCAGCACCACAGTGCTACTTCCTCAAGATTTTGGTGATGCCAACACCGGAACACGGTGGCACTGTTGCAGAATATTGGGGAAAGGCCCGTCTAGGTTGGACAGGAGACACGAAGAAGAAGAAGAAGATCGACCCCTCTAGTGTACGTGTCCTGCCCACTCATATTTCTTAACAGTCAACATGATATGAAAAATAAGAATAGGTTTTACCCCTTCTGGCAATTGCCAAAAAGGTTTTGCCCTTCATAAAGCAATACATTCATAAATGCAAAAAATAATTAATTAATCGATCAGCTAATTGATTGATTGACCAATATATGGTAAAACCTACCTTTATTGTTCATACTTTGATACTGGCAAAAATGTCCTATGAATCAATATGATGTCTGAATAGGAGATGAACTTTGATCCACGTGTTAGTCTTCCTGCGAGGGGTTAATTCCACGTGCGCATTTCTACCGTATCATTTTGTTGCGCTTTTAAGTTCTTTGTTCAACGTTTACATTTACTCTTTGCCAAGAGTGGGAGGCAGGGACACTTGCGGATGCACGGACACGATACGTAAAAAGAGCACGACCATTGTTGCCTTAAGAACGACGTTTTCGATTCTATTTCGGATTTATATTGCGTCCATTCCAGGGTGCTTTACAATGCAAGCCGACGGCGGTCAGCGAGGGCGGTGACGGAGTGGATGGAGAGACAGGGGCTGGCAGTGGAGCTGGTGTTGCTGGCGTAGGTAAGGCAGAATAAGGTGGAACGTGATGGCGAGTGAGGGTGTCTGATGGGTGCAACGTGGATGAGAGGCGGTGGGGGTATGGGGCACGAGCGTGAAGTGGTGAAATGGGCACGGATGAGGGTAGGTGGAGGGTGGTAGGGGCAGAGAGGTCTGGTGGCCGGATGGTTGAGCTGATTGAGGTGCACAGAGTATGGCTGGGGGATAGATGTGGTTAGGTGCACATAGAAAGCGAGGGCGTGTGAATCAGTAGCGTGACCTAAACGGTACCATTCTCACATTAAGGCAAGTAAGACATGTTGTTAAATCATCATCACCATCAGCAGAACATTATCGGCATATGAGCTCCATAATTGACGAAAATTAGTTTGTGTGGTTCCAACCATTGTCAACAGCGATGTTTAACCACCAGTGACTAAAGCTGCAAACGTCCCCACGGTGGTAGCCCAGGCTGCCTGCCTCCGCTGCACAACACGTACACATTTGGTGGGACTTGAACGGTGATATTTCACAGACAAGGTCTAATGCATTCTTACAGCAAAGTACAGTGAGGGAAAAAAGTATTTGATCCCATGCTGATTTTGTAGGTTTGCCCACTGACAAAGAAATTATCAGTCTATAATGTTAATGGTAGATTTATTTGAACAGTGAGAGACAGAATAACAACAAAAAAATTCAGAAAAACGCATGTCAAAAATGTTATAAATTGATTTGCATTTTAATGAGGGAAATAAGTATTTGACCCCTCTGCAAAACATGACTTAGTACTTGGTGGCAAAACCCTTGTTGGCAATCACAGAGTTCAGACGTTTATTGTAGTTGGCCACCAGGTTTGCACACATCTCAGGAGGGTTTTTGTCCCACACTTCTTTGCAGATCTTCTCCAAGTCATTAAGGTTTCGAGGCTGACGTTTGGCAACTCGAACCTTCAGCTCCCTCCACAGATTTTTTTATGGGATTAAGGTCTGGAGACTGGCTAGGTCACTCCAGGACCTTAATGTGCTTCTTCTTGAGCCAGTCCTTTGTTGCCTTGACCTTGTGTTTTGGGTCATTGTCGTGCTGGAATACCCATCCACGACCCATTTTCAATGCCCTGGCTGAGGGAAGGAGGTTCTCATCCAAGATGTGACGGTACATGGCCCCGTCCATCGTCCCATTGATGCGGTGAAGTTGTCCTGTCCCCTTAGCAGAAAAACACTCCCAAAGCATAATGATTCCACCTCCATGTTTGACGGTGGGGATGGTGTTCTTGGGGTCAGAGGCAGCATTGCTCCTCCTTCAAACACGGCGAGTTGAGTTGATGCCAAAGAGCTCCATTTTGGTCTCATCTGACCACGACACTTTCACGCAGTTGTCCTCTGAATCATTCAGATGTTCATTGGCAAACTTCAGACGGGCATGTATATGTGCTTTCTTGAGCAGGATTTCAGTCCTTCACGGCGTAGTGTGTTACCAATTGTTTTTTTGGCGACTATGGTCCCAGCTGCCTTAAGATCATTGACAAGATCCTCCTGTGTAGTTCTGGGCTGATTCCTCACCGTTCTCATGATCATTGCAACTCCACGAGGTGAGATCTTGCATCGAGCCCCAGGCCGAGGGAGATTGACAGTTCTTTTGTGTTTCTTCCATTTGCGAATAATTGCACCAACTGTTGTCACCTTCTCACCAAGCTGCTTGGCAATGGTCTTGTAGCTCATTCCAGCCTTGTGTAGGTCTACAATCTTGTCCCTGACATCCTTGCAGAGCTCTTTGGTCTTGGCCATGGTGGAAAGTTTGGAATCTGATCGATTGCTTCTGTGGACAGGTGTCTTTTATACAGGTAACAAGCTGAGATTAGGAGCACTCCCTTTCAGAGTGTGCTCCTAATCTCAGCTCGTTACCTGTATAAAAGACACCTGGGAGCCAGAAATATTTCTGATTGAGAGGGGTCAAATGCTTATTTCCCTCATTAAAATGCAAATCAATTTATAACATTTTTGACATGCGTTTTTCTGGATTTTCCTGTTGTTATTCTGTCTCTCACTGTTCAAGTAAACCTACCATTAAAAATGATAGACTGATCATTTCTTTGTCAGTGGGCAAACGTACAAAATCAGCAGGGTATCAAATACTTTTTTCCCTCACTGTACCAATTCGAGCTTATTCACGTCGTTATTCATGCCTCCCCGTACCCCGGACCCTAAATTACATCCATCTCGCGTTTAGCACAGCTGGCAGGTACTACACGGCGTCTTTCTCCCCCAATATTGGCTTTATTTCATCGTGCCCTCCTTGTGTCTCAGCATGAGCGTGCACATCGTACTGGCTCGCACCTCAATATTCAGGAGATGTTCATTTAAATCCTTGGCCACCCAGTGAGTGACACAGAGCCGTGTGTCATTTTTTTTTAGGCTAGAGGAGGACGTGACCTGTTCATGAATATTAACGAGGGGGGCTGGACGACGTGGAGTGACGTCACATGCGCATGATTATTCGTGAGAAGGGGGGGGGGTACTCCATATTGAGTGACGTCTCCCGCTCATGATTATTAATGAAGAGGGGTGGGGGGGCGGTGTCCATTTGGAGGACGTCACCTGCTCATGAATATTAATGAGGGGGGCTGGTCGATGTGGAGTGACGTCACGAGCGGTAAGGACAGACATTCCTTGGGTGATTATAGTCGGTATATAAAGCAGGCAAGTACTCGAAACGCATGATTCTCAATGTGGAGGCAAAACCCGGAGGACCCGGAAAAAACATTCACCCGACCACGGGGCGAGAGACACGCCAACTCCAAATATACAGCAGCAGGCGTCAGGGTCGGGATCTAACCCGCGAACTACTGCACACCAGGCGAGGTAGTTAACATCTCGCCACCGTGGTGACATCAGCGCACTCACCCACCCACTCACCCACTCACTCGCCAACTCACTCACTCACTCACCCACTCACTCGCCAACTAACTCACTCACTCACCCACACACTCACCCACTCACTCGCCAACTAACTCACTCACTCACCCACTCACCAACTCACACGCCAACTAACTCACTCACCCACCCACTCACTCACCCACTCACACGCCAACTAACTCACTCACTCACCCACTCACACGCCAACTAACTCACTCACCCACTCACTAACCCAGTCACTCGCTCATACACTCACCCACTCACACGCCAACTAACTCAATCACTCACCCACTCACTAACCCAATCACTCACTCACACGCCAACTAACTCAATCACTCACCCACTCACTAACCCAGTCACTCGCTCACACACTCACTCACCCACTCACTAACCCAGTCACTCACTCGCTCACACACTCACTCACCCACTCACTAACCCAGTCAGTCACTCGCTCACACACTCACCACACTGCAGGTCAAAACGCTTCTCTTTCCGCTGCATCGCTTGCACTGCCCCACTATGAGATTCCCTCCGAGCGTCTCTTTCCCACCTACTCCAAGCTCCTTCAGCGTCGCTCAACAGTGCTGTTTGTTGCCGGCCGCTGCGTGCTGTGGGGCCTTTGGGAACTGTGCTCATTCAGCAGCTGTGGCTTATATCGCGTTTGCTCAGTCACCTGCATGCAGATTTCTCTCCCAAGCCGCCCCACCCCCTCCCACGACATTCAAAATGTTTGGCAAAAAAAAAACGCGAATGATATCGTTGCCAATGCCTGGCAATGCGCGATATTATTTTTTTTCCTTGGAAGTTGTGCACAGCAGGCAAAAGTAGAGCTACGGCTTGTGCCGTCATCGTAATCCCAATCTAAATGTAAACTACCTAAATGCAAGTTATGCCCGTCACTCTATGTTGACTTACTAATGCATGGGATTGAATCGCCGTGTAAGAGTAATGAATGTTGCGTGTGCGTACAAATAAAGACAGATTCCCCGTATAGCCTGAACCGACTTTTGGGGCAAGTGCTGTTAGCGAGCATCTATGAAGGCCGGAACGGCACACGAGGGGGTGGGTGGCTAGCAGCACGCCCGGCCGCCTTTGTGTCCCTAGTGGCGATGTTTATACACCGCACTAGATACTCATTTGAGGTTGCGTCGACCTAGGGGAGGCCCTGGTTACGGTTCAGATAGCCATCACTGGTGTTGGCCGTGAACGGGAATCGAACTCGGGTCGCTGGGTCCGTAGCGCAGCGCATTAACTGACAAATACTGGATGCAAAGTGGATTAAAATGTTCTTGCAATTTGAGAATAGAGTGAGCGGGTAAATAAATAGGCAGATTTTTTTTAAACCACCCTTAAAAAACCATGAGAATCAAGACGTGTTTATTGACCGTGTGCACACGTGTAAGAGATGCACAACTTTCCTCCATGTAGCCGCACAGAGGGGACAATTTCAAGTTTATAACCAGTTGAGAATTCAAGAGACCAGGCTGAGTTGCATTTTCAAGAGTCAACTGGTACGGAGTAACCACTCAGGCCAGCATTAGTCAGAAGAGGGCAGTGTAGTCAGTACGATAGACCCATAGCCACCTTTGTACCTCCCCCCCCAAGTGCTGATGTTGAAGACCATCCTGCACGAGGTACTCCTTTTAGGCTGAGTCAACCTAGGGGAAGGACAGGTCTTGTTTAATTTCTAATTGCCACCATTCCACGATTGTAAACCGTTTCTATGTTACAGTAAACAGCATGCGACCCACAGCACCACCGCTCATTATGTATCCACGTGTGTACAGCAGATGCAGGTATGTGTGGTGATACTTGTTTTAGAAAAGCTCTTTTTTATTCGTAGTCGATGTGGCAGACAAACTTGAAAATAACGGAACGTACCACCGATAAGTAAGATTACTGGAGTGCCACGGTGGCGAGATGTTAACTACCTCGCCTGGTATGCAGGGGGTCGTGGGTTCGATCCTGACCTGACGCCTGTATATTTTGAGTTTGCATGTTCTCCCTATGGTCGCAAGGATTTTTCTCCGTGTCCTCTGGTTTTTTTTCTCCACAGTTAGAAACATGTGTTCAGAGTATTTGGTTGCTTTAAATTTCCACGTGATAAGCCACATTGTTGAGATATAATTTGTGGCCAGGTCGTTTCTGAAAAAGAGCTACATAGCTCAGTGGGCCTTACCTCGTAAAATACTAAAACAACAACTGGTAGCCGTGTTGCTTGTTCGCTCTACCATTAACGATAACGCTGATGTGTGGCGTTATCCAAAATTATACAGAACAGATAAGCGTGCGCCATTGGAGAGGGGAGATTTTAGCTGGTTTGGAGCGAGATCATTGGAGTTAAAGGGGGTTGTGTCAGGGGTCGGTAACCAAAACAACAAGAGGTGCCCTAGCTTTTAGAATTCGGTAAAAAATGCAATAATTCGAGAGCCGCAATGCATGTGAATACGAGACAGTGGTCTTTCATGAACAACGTCACGAAGCAGTCCTTAAAAGATCCGCCATGCGGCTGCAGAGGCGCCGGTTTCCGACCCCTGGGTTTGGGTGATGACGGGATGACCGTGATCTCCGAAGTAATTATTCACGGTTGAATCTCAACGATCTTGCCACGAGTATCACAGTTTTACCTGCGGCACTCTCTCGCTGAACTGCGGCCATCTACGAAGGATGGCTGCCGTGAGCCACAGGTG